AATTCCTAAAATCCTGGCATCTATGGAATCTATGGGGAATGCTGGGCTGTAGTTGCTCAGATTTTGGGAATTTTGGGGAAATTTGATCCATGCCCATGTTTTCGCATGCAGGATTTTTGGGGGAATTTGATCCCTGCGATGTTTTCGCATCCGAGGGCGCCCACGTCCCATAACCTACTGCTTTCAAAGAGGGCTCGGGTGGATCATGGGGGGGGGCGTGAGCATATATATATATATATATATACATATGTGTGTGTGTGTATCGAGATACCTGTTCGTAGGTAGTTTAAGGAGCCCTTCAATTGCAACCCAGGAGAAATGTGGCCACGGCTATGCAAGCCTTGCTTTTTTCGGCGGAGTCAGGTTTAAATTTTGCAGGTTATAAGCTTGTAAAGGGTTTTGGAGGCTTTCTTGCCAGCAAAATCTTCGCGACTTCGGACAGGAAAAGCGTGACGCATACTCTGAGATTGCGGCTACACTGTATAAAGGGCCGTGAGTAACCTAATTGGCGATATGTTGTCTCTCCTGACTAAAGCCCATAAGACTCTAAGTAATCTGTGGACCCCGGAGGAGCAGGTTAAGGGTTTTAGAGTAGTTCAGTCCCTGTGAACTCCTTCCCTCGCTGAGCCCGGAATGTAGGATCTTTACTACAAAGCGGATATCAGCAGAGATCTCATGGACGCCATGTCTCATTGCATATTTGTAGCTAGCACTTGCGGTTTTGGGCAGCATGATCCCTGAGCTCACTGCAAGCATGGCTTCGAGGTTGCAGCTTACTTGTTGTACTCACTGATCGATGGCTGGCTCTTCATGCCCGGCTGTTGTCGAAGTTTTCATTTTTGGGAGGGGGGACAAGTTGCATCTACGGTTGAGGGTATAATCAGCGTGCCGCTGGAAGGTCGTACCAGTTCTTCTGACTTTGCGACGCTTTTGCGATGCAGCAAAAAGAAAAAGTGCCGCTGCTGTAGATTTCATCTGTTGTGGTTCGTGCGTACATGGAACCACGAACGCAGTATATGCAAGCACTAAATTAATCCTGGTTTATCTTTCCTCAGCACAAAGTTTTAAGCAACGACGTCCTGATTGAAAGTCGCGAACCTTGCCTGTCTGGCGGAGCCTTGAATCAAACCATTGATGGCCTTCGCTTTCTGGGTTCTTTGTGTGCTGAATAAAGCTGCCTTCAGAACCCACACATGTTGCCTGGCTTTCAAGACGGCTAACTGCAATGGCTGCTGCGAGAAATGTACAGGAAACAGCGGGAAAGCTTCGAAGCAGTCGTTGCTCGTTGGGCATCCTCAAGATCAACCGACCTTCGAGGTGCTTGCAGGCAAGTATCTGTGGACCTAGAAGCATTCCGAATGCCAAAAATCCCTCGGATACTTGGGTTCCTCCGAGGTGTGCAGTGACGAAGAGCGCGGTCGCCGATTTCTACAGAGCAGCCAAGGCGCCTCGAAAAACACGGAAAACCCACTTTGAAAGCAGCTGCTAAGCAGATCTTTAAGGACCGCCTTTGGCACGAGTTGTCGTACTTGGTTCCGATTATACGTGGCCTGTGCAGGCTGACTCTTCGCAAGTAGGAAGTATCAGTGGTCCGAAACATAACAGCCCTGGTGCAGGCTTGGTTTGCGCAGGGCGAAGACACCAAAGCGCGCGATGCCTGCGCTGGCCACAGACAAACCGGATTCGGGGCTGGGAGCGTTTGTTGCAGTGTGCAGAGAGGTCGTGAAGATCTCTGCTAGCTTCCTGGCTCTTGCGCAGTGTGACCACCCGAAGATGTAGCAACTATTAGACACAAGACGTTTTGTGATGCAGCCACTGCATGATGGAGCAAGACTGTTCTAGCACATGTCTACCAAAAAACCGATCAGCCTGAATCTGCTTGACCCGTGGCTTCAGGTGAGAAAGCCTTGAAGCTTGCAGACGAGCCACATCCTCAGACAGTCTAGGACTACGAGACACAGAGTCTCACCAGGGATATACCCAGAACCTGTCACGAGGAGATGTTCTCTACGACGATTCAGACAGTTCAACCGATCAGACGATGCCCTCAACCACGAACTGAGCAGGTGCCTTGTGACATCTCGTGACTGTCCGGGGACATGCAAACCAACCCCAACTGCAATGTGAAAGTTGCAGACACAGGGAACAAAGCAACAACCGAGTGCTTGCTTTCGTCTTTCTCGTTGATATTCCCTTGCCGGACTGGCGCTGAGGAGTTCTTTTTGCTGGAGGTTTGTGTAACATCTACCACCATCCAGGTGCCTTGAACGCCCTCAACTTCGGACCCAAACCCTTTCCATTCTCAAAGCCCTGAACCTTGACATGGCACGGCCCCTGTGCAAGAGCAAGTCGAGAGGTCAACCAAGATCCGAAATTTCAGCTTCAAAACCCAAAAAGCCCAAGAAGCCCTGAGCCCCTAAGCTTCATCCGATTTGGGAGTTTCCGAAAATAGGGGACCCTAATATAGCACCCCAAATAGTAGCATCCTTATTTATAAGGACCCCAAAATGAGGTACCCCTATTTTCGGAAACTCCCATTTTCGTGGCTCAGCCGGAGGCTTCGCCCACTGCCGGCAGAGATGGGAGATGCTTTGCACCTCCTGGGGGCCGGCAACACCAGGGTTGCTTATGACTTACTGAGTTGAAAAGGATTACGTAAAGCTCACCCTAAACCCTAAACCCTAAACCCTGTAAAATCTCCCGGGGCTTTGCGGCTTTGAGATAAGGGTTTTGGGCTCTTGGGGCCCCCGGGCTCTATAAGAGTTCCTTACCGGTTGCATGGGGGCTCTTGGGGTTTCGGAGGTTTAGGGTTTAGGGTTTAGGGTGCAAGAGATCTATCTGCCAGTGCCGGATGTTGAACTACCTGCAATATGGTTCGTGCAATGTGAGGTAATATGCCCCACGTGGCGGTGATTCTCCCAAACTCCTGTGTAATTCTTCGATAGGGGTTTGGGCAAGTTTTGGCCACTTTTGTGGCCACTTGAAGCAAGCATCCTAAAATGATACCGCGAAATGCGCATCCACCAAAGATACTTCACTGCATGAAGCAAAAGCAAACTCGAAGCTAGCGCGGTGGCCCTTCTCCAATGCCTCATAACGTTCGAGTTGTTCTGCATATTGCAGTGAGTTACCCTGAACGGTTGCCACTGGGTTTCCTTCCGGGGTGCTATAAGATTAAAAGACTTTAGAGGGTTCCCTTAATCAAGGATCGCTGATCCACACGCAGCCAGGCTTGCCACCTCCGGTTGAAGGCATCTGCACTGGCCATCAAGTGCCGTCGCCTCAATCTCGTTGAGTGGCTCACAGGATAGTACGGGTTAGTAATCACCATATGGGGGTTTCCGAAACTAGGGGACCCTAATATATAGTACCCTAAATACTAGGATCCTTATAAAGGACCCCAAAAAAAGGTACCCCTTGTTTTCAGAAACCCCCATATGGTTCTGACGAAGTCGTAGCTTGATATACCCGGAAACCTTATTCTAATGACAAAGGCCCCTATATATTATATGTGGCTACGGCTTGCATTGTCAACTAACGTCAACTACAGGGCTGAGTACTACACGGCCCTTGGGTGCGTTGCAGGTTTTGCTTTTGTGCTTTATGGTTTCTTCTCTAGCTGTCTGCAGCTCTTAGCGGGCAGAGCTGGAGCCAATAAGGGTGGTTTACACGTTGCATGAATTCCCTCATCTGGCGAGACGCTTTGTATTTTTACACTACATGAATTCCCAGTACCCGTGCTTTAAGCATTTTGGGTTCTTACTGCTTAATATTCCTGTGAGTGCAGCGTTTGGTTTTTTCCGGTCTGTGGGCAAGCCGGATCTGCGCCCCGATTTTAGGCAATGCCCGGTAGCTGAACACCTGCAACCAACTGCCCGCGATGGCTTCAGCGCGGTACCTGTCTCTCTTCAGCCTACCCAGTTACATCGGCATAGTTCGACGAAGGCATCTCAGGCGCGATTTGCGATATGCCCGACACGGCGTTTCTAAGCAAGTGCAAGCGCTTTCGTTTTACACATTTCCTTAACAAGTAAGCTTCCTTTCAAACGAACGGTCGAACTTGAGCAAGACTGAACTAGCCCAAGTCGGCACAGTAACCAGTTTTTCTGAGAACGTGATTTGGAATAGCATTCGAGACTCGTGCCTCCAAGGCTTTGAACGGGCCATGCTCGTGAAGCAGATGGCTTTGACTGACGAGGCTCATCAAAACGCCGCACGCTGGAAGATACGACCACTCGTGCCCTGTACGAGCAGCGGCAGCACGAGCAGTAGTAGCAGAAGCGGTGATAGTGGCAATGGTGGTGGCAGCTGTAGCGACAGTGGCAGTAATCTTCGTCGTCGTCATTCTCGTCGTACTAGTGTGGGTGTAGTAGTAGTAGTAGTAGT